CGTATGCGTTACTCTTTCCTCCTAGTTGTAGGACTTCCACTCAGCCAGCGTTCCTGTGGGTCTGGGTGATGTCCGTTCCGTCTTTTAGTGTCTCTTTTGAAGTGGTTGTTCGCGGCAGCAAACTCCGGCGTTAACCTATGCCGCCATCTTGGTTCTCTCCAAATCATGTATTAATTAATTTAAAAAATTTAAAGGCCGACTGACTTCTGCGTGCAGTGCCTCACTTATATGTCTGGAGTCTTGACTACGCTATGTTCTCCTAAAAATGGACCTTGACAGCTTCTTTGGAGGTTCTAGCAGCTACTCATATACCCTTGACTGAAGATCAGTCCTCTCCTCTGGGAGGAAGGCCATCTACTTTGGGAGGGATGAATGTGGACCAGTGAGGAAGGAAGGGGACACCTGCCTAGCCAGCCAGATCAGCTGAATCAATCCTGGCGATCATCGGGGTGACAGATGTCAAAGCCAGACTGCCCTCCCGTCCCAACATGTATTTAATTTAGATGGTGATTATCTCAGAGGAAAAACCCTCTTAGTTCTTGGATGTTTTTAGTGAACTATCAAATTAACTAGAACATATTTAAAGAAGTTGCAGCCACATGATTATAATATTATTTGTTGAGCATACGCCACCACTGGCTGCATAATTCTTAGAATGTGTATCTTCAAGCCCTTCACCACCTTCATTGTTTACAAAAATGTCTCCCTGACACCCATCTCCACCTCACAGTAAGAAAACCATAAATTAGAGCCAAACTCAGTGCCTCTGCAGTTTCTTGTGGATCATACATGCTCTCCTTTCAAATGACTGGCTGAAAGCAGAGATCATCATTCCATTTGCTTCTCCTTATTCTTCCATAGGTGACCTATCTTCACAAAAGCAGAATCATATGGACTATATACTCTAGGAAGAAACCAGAGAGATTTGTAAAGTCCAAGTCTTTACAAATAAGGAAATGAAAGTTCAGAGATGTTCAAGTGGCTTCTCTAGGGTCAAAGGGTAAAACATGAGCTTAGGGCCAAGTTTCTTAATTTGAAAAGAATTGGATGGTTAGCAGTACTGATTCTGGACATGTAGCCTAATTAGTAATAGGCCTTTCTAATAAAAATAAAATAGGGTTTTGGAACATGAAGCTGCAAATATAGTCCAGAACAATTCTATGTTGTAATTTTTCAACTTTAATTCAAAATGAGATCTTCTTTTTTAACTTTGTAGCAGACAAACCAGTGTATTCTTGAAATTCTTAAAAATATGAGTGACTTATCTTAAACCTTTCTCTAAAGTTAACATTTACATGCACTCAATTATGGAGGCTAGAACTTGGGATACCAAGGAGATACGAGGCCTTGTTCTGCTTTCACAGGATTTATATTCCTACTAGAAGCCCAGCGCATGAAATTCATGCACGGGTATGGTCCCTAGGCCTGGCCTGCAATCAGGGCCTTCTTCCCCGGTTGCCAGCCCACCCCCCCTTCCCCACCACTCACCCCCGGGTCCCCCTCCACCATTGGGCGATAAGAGCCTGCCGGCCGGGGGAGATACCAAGAGGTTGGCTGTTCCGGCCGGTTTGCCGGCCCCGCCACTGGTTGCCCTCTGTGTGGGGGGAGACTGGCAGGTTGGGGGCCTTGGCCTGGTGCCACCCCTGTCCGCCGCCACCCACCCTCAGTTTCCTGAGCACCATCAGGTGATCGGAGCCTGCCTCCCGGGGGCAGGGACCAAGAGATTGGCCTACAGGCCCCAATTGGCGATCGGGGCATGTAGGCTGGGGGCAAATCCTGCATTGAGCGTCTGCCCCCGGTGGTCAGTGCACTTCAGAGTGACCAGTTGTTTCGCCATTCAGTTGATTTGCATATTACCCTTTTATTATCTAGGATTGTGGAGGGAAAACATGCATAGCTGAAAGCACCCCATCTTATAGCGTCACTTCTGTGCCAAAATGGGTGCGATGAAGACTAAACCCAAACAGTCCTACATTTGGTTCCATCCAAACCAAACAACCCAAGAGAATGGGTGAAACATAACTGAACAACAGCACTTGTCAGAGAGGGGTCAGAACATTAATCTGTTCATGTAACAAATATTTACAATGCCCACTATGTGCCAGGGGGAGTTCTAAGTGGTCAGGGAAATACAGGTATGTCAGATAGACAAGACACTGCTCTGAGGACCTTACTGGGTAGTAAGGAAAGAGAGACAATAACCAAGTAGAGAACACAATAAAGTCAGAAACACTATGAAGACGCTAAAGCTACGTTAGGTTGGAGGGTCAGGGAAGGCCTCTTTGGAGGGACTGCCATGAAAGCACAGATCACAGATCTAAATGGAGCCAGACGTGATGATGCTGAGGAGGGTCATTCCATGAAGGAGTAAGAAGCTCAGGGTGTGTGAGGATCAGAAAGGGGCCCCGCGGCTGGCATGTCAGGAGCCTGTGGAAAGAAGATGAGTGGCAGAGGGCCTGCAGCCAAGGTAAAGAGTTTGGATAATGCACAGTTCAGGAGTGATGGAAAAGCCACCAAAGAGCCATACGTGCAGGAAAAGTTGATGATATGAGCTTTTAAAAATTTAGTCAAATCAATGAATCAGCAGGGAAATGTGGCTCTACTCAAGAAGTCAACGGATCTGCATCTTCATCTATAAAAAGAAGGGTGTTCAGAAAACCAGGGAACAGACCCAATGTGCTCACCACTGCTCCCCCTCGACTCTATGCTCAGAGTGACACACTTTTTAAAAAATATATCTTTTATTGATTTTTTACAGAGAGGAAGGGAGAGGGATAGAGAGTTAAAAACATCGATGAGAAACACTGATCAGCTGCCTCCTGCACACCCCCCACTGAGGATGTGCCCGCAACCAAGGTACATGCCCTTGACCGGAATCAAACCCAGGACCCTTCAGTCCACAGGCTGACGCTCTATCCACTGAGCCAAATTGATCAGGGCAGGGTGACACACTTTTAAGACATATGTTGTACTCACACTAGAAAGTCATGCTATTTCATACAGTGCATAAATCAAAGTCAAAAGCTCTGCCACAGAGCTAATCTAAGATTAATCTCCTACAACTATAAAAGAAGAATCACATTTGCAGGAAGCAACAGAACACAGGACTTATTTATTTCTGACTTGCCTACTCTCAGAAAGCATGGCCATCTATTACTTAGGAAAACCTGGCAAACCAATTCTATGCGTTAAAAACACCACCTTAAACAAAAGTCTGAAAAGTACAGACATGGAGTCATGCAGTCTAAGTCTGTTGGAGACATTATATTCTTTAGATTTTTAATGTTAAAAATGAAAAATCTCTTCTCTCTCTCTCTCTCTCTCTCTCTCTCTCTCACACACACACACACACACACACACACACACACACACACTTTCCTATATACAAAATTGACAAAGCACAGTAAGATAACATTTTACCAAACTGTATACAGATTTAATTTTCTGTTTAACTGGTTTAAAAACATCAGGATTTTACTCATGCCATCTATAAAAATAGTTATATTTTTTTACATACTAGGTATTCATTATTTGTCCGCCCCAAGCTACCAATGTAATAGTAATTATCTTTACCATGTGTTCACAATTCAGAATATTAATCTTACCCTATGAATGCTGGTCAACCGGAAACTTTGCAATTAGTTTCTATTTGAAAAATTCCTAAAGAGAAATCATAAACATATTGTTATATTTTACGCACCACAGGACTCCAACACAATTTGTCAATTTATATGGTACTAAAACTTTCAACATACAAAAAAGTAACTTTTTAAAAAATTGAGTGTTGCCCTAGCCGATTCGGCCCACAGACTGAAGGGTCAAATGTTTGATTCTGTACCTCGATTGCAGGCTCAATCTTTGGCCGTGGTCAGGGCATGTGCAGAGGCAACCAATCGATGTGTCTCCCTCACTTTGATGTTTCTCTCTCTCTTTCTTTCTCTCTCTAAAAATCAATGGAAAAGATGTCTTCGGGTGAGGATTAACAAAAAAATAAACAAGAAAGTGAATGTTGCTAAAGAGATCACCTTCTGACCTCTCATAAAAGGTGTTAACTAATACCCAGGGAAAGAAACAAGTCACTATCAGAAATTATAGATTTAATCTCATCACCATGGCAACCTATAAAGTGTAGAATATGAACATTAAATTTTTAGTGAAAAATGAGATAAGCATTATATCTAAGGCACCACTCATTTCATAAATAAAAGATAGAAACACCAATTGAAAATATTTATGCTTCTTACAGAAAAAAAGGAAAACATGGGGGAAGAAAGAAAGATTTAATATTTGAGATTGTTTTCTCATTCCAGGTTTTTTTGTTTTATTTTTGCTGGACTGGTAATTTTACACAATTGTGCCATTGTAAAATTCAATGGCAAAACACAGATCTCCTTTGCCTCACCATTTATCATAGGCTTTCTCGATGATAGTTTCTCCAAACATAATTCATACATGGGTATGTCATAGTTTACAAAACCATTTCGCTACAGAATATTAGATCTTTTCTTTTTATTACTAATAATGTTGTAAACATTTCTGTGCTCTGGTCGTATGATTTCTTTTGCATAGACTTTGAAAGTGAGATAAAGAGCATGAATATTTTAAGGCCTCTGATACGTAACATCAAATTATTTTCCAAGAAGGTTCTGCTAATTTTCTTTCCTATAAACAATATATCACTAGAACTTTCACCAGATGTTAGAATCACCATTTAAAAAAGGCAAAAAACAAACCAATCCCAACAACAACAAATAAAAGACACTTCACTAATTCCATGAAAAAATGATCTTATTATTGCTTTATTTTGCATTTCTTTGATTAAGTGGGGTTGAACACTTACCAATGTTTTATTAATGAGTTTCATTCTTTTTTCTACTTATTTACTTAAACCAGAGGAATATATTGCCGAGAGATATAAATGTAGAACTTAAAAAAAGCTTTCTCAGAATGACAATCTGTCATCTGAGAGTGCAACCATTGCTGTTAGGTAAACACACACACACACACACACACACACACACACACACCCCACACAACAACAACAAAAACAAATAAAATATACTTCAGTTTCTTTATTCAGGCTAAAGCCAAATCACTCTAATTTTAGAAACCATAGCAGAAGTTATCGGCTTTCTTCCTCCCCAGCAGCAAACAAAAGTACAAGTTGGAAGGATGAGCATGCAAAAATACTAAATGGCAATGCTTCTCAGAACAGAATAAATAGTCCATGTGAGGCAGGATAAAAACAAGCCTGGGACTCACAGTAATTCTGCAGGCCCAGCTGCCCAGAGACAGCATCTGTGGCTTCTCCAGTTTGCTATGCTAATGAATGTTACAAAACTAGCACTCTCTCCTCCCTCAAAAACATTTTCTTTCCCCAGCAGCAGGGCACAGGACATATATTTTCACTTTAAAAGTCAATTCCCGAAAGTCATCTCTGAATCTGGAAGACAAGCAAAACACTGAGACTTCCCTTTCTCAAGTAAGGGCTTCTGTTCAGAAGGTTCCCCAAAAGAGATTGATAAGGGACTACTCCCCAGTGACTATGGCTTAAGGAACAATAGGGGCAACCAGCCTTCTTTTATATATATATATATATTTTATTGATTTTTTACAGAGAGGAAGGGAGAGGGATAGAGAGTTAGAAACATCGATGGGAGAGAAACATCAATCAGCTGCCTCCTGCACACCTCCTATTGGGGATGTGCCCGCAACCCAGGTACATGCCCTTGACCAGAGTCGAACCCGGGACCTTTCAGTCCGCAGGCCAATGCTCTATCCACTGAGCCAAACCGGTTAGGGTACAACCAGCCTTCTGATAGAAAACAAAGGCCCCAAGGTTTTTACTGTGAAAAGTGAGAAGCCTGAATGCTCTTATTTCTTGCTTGTCAGTAGAAAGAATGGAGATTGACAAAACAAACTCTCTTGTAGTAAATCGAAGAACTACTGTAAAACTTTGGAATCTGAGAAGGGCTTTCCATTTGGGTGAGTTTGTCTTTTAGTGAAAAGTAAAATTCTACAATTAAAGATTTAGCAAGAAGTCAAGAATCTTCTCATAGTCACTTGATGTCGTTTTGCAGGTCATCAAATACGGCAAGAATCACTGCAATATCCTAGTCACTTTGCTTTGTGCAATTCCGAAAGGTTAAGGCTTTCAGGGATGTGAAATTAAAGTATCCCATTTCATCAATTTGAAAAGAACATTTCACTTTACCATCTGTCCCGTCCATGAATCACTTCCCTGAGCCACCCTGACCTCCACAGGCTGACGCCACTGCTCTTCCATCTCTGTCCCTAGAACACTTTACTAATAGTTCTTTCACACTGTTCCGCAAGCAATTGCCTCACATTCCTTGGGGACTGGGGCAGGACCCCTGGGATCTACCCCGGTGTCTCTTCCCAGTGCTAGATTGAGGGCCTGGGTATCACAGTGGCTTCCATGCACCGATTCATCGAAGGGGTGTTGAAAACAACTCTGGAAACTGAATTAGATTGAACAAAAATAGTATCTACCAGAAACTCTCTCAGGAATTGTTCAGAATGTGGTTGGAAGGAAAGATAAGGAATCTGCTATTTTACTTCTGGTCCATTGAGATCCTGGGAACGGGCAGAGGGGGAACCAGAGGGCCTCTTTGGCTACACCTGTATTCTTCATTTTTCCAAAAGTAACTTCCCTGTCATAGAGAGCTTGCCTTCTCCTCTTAACAATGTCATGAACCAGGATTTAAAGAATACCAGTCTGAAGTGACATCAAATCATCAGCCTGCCCAAGTAACACGTTACTTGCTCACCTAGAGCGACCCTATGTCTAGTCCTGTCCTGTCCCCACCATTAAAAAATTAGTAAATAATTACTGAGTGAACAAATAACATCAGATCAGGATCAAACCCCATTAGGAACCCAGAACACTGGTGCACTCGCACGATGGGTCTGGAAGGGGGCACACCCAGTGGAGGGGACAGAGCCTCAGGCATTGCCATCTGCCATCACCCTGGGGCAGAAGCAGATGTCACACCTTCACCCTACAGCAGCGGTTCTCAACCTGTGAGTCGCGACCCCTTTGGGGGTCGAACTACCCTTTCCACAAAAACAATATGTAATTATATATGTTTTCGGACGGTCTTAGGCGACCCCTGTGAAAGGGTCATTCGACCCCCAAAGGGGTCGCGACCCACAGGTTGGCGACCCACAAGTTGAGAACCGCTGCCCTATAGGAAGGAAGGAAGAAAATTCGTAGCTGACAACTTCCCCACCACAAGTGACATCTAACAAATCGGAATGGAGAAGTGCTGTCAAACTCAGCATGACTGGCTGCTTTAGAATGATGGCCAGTCTTTTTGAATCAAAGATGGGTCACTGGTTAAATGCCACAGCATTCCTGAGTGACCTTAAAATCTTGCCCAATAACTTCACAGTTCTTCTTTTATACAAGTTAACAGTATACTGCAACAGGAATAATGCTGGAACCAATGGAATTATCAAGTTACCACCCAAGCACGGATGGTATGCATCCTGCCCTGTTCACCTTCCCCCGAGACCGAGGGTTTTAGGGCGGCAAGGACATTTCTTGTTACCCTAGAGCCTGCCACATGGCAGGTGCTCTATATGTGTGTAATTCCCAAACCCTGGGATCTATGATCAAACTGACAGCACTGCAGGTCCTTGGATGGTTTCAGTCTTATAAAACCAGTAACTTCTCACAGTGATCACTGTAAAGATTGCTACATCTGGTGTAACATATTCTTAACCCAATGACAAAAATCAAATTGCCATGCACTGCAAATCAGCCTAATGTTTATATTGAGCTCATTTCTGAGCACAAAATACAAAGGTTTAATGTTCGCCAAGTAGTAAATGACCATTAAACACAAAATATGTTTTAAATGGACACTGTTGTCCACTGACCCTCAAGACATGTAATTGCTCCATACCTCATGCTCCTTCAGCATTTAGGGAGTGTAGATAGTTCTACGACACTTCCATTAAACTGCAACACGAAGAGCTGGTTAGATGCCTCCCTGCCTCTCATTTTGAGCTCTTAGAAGAGCTCCGTGTACAGGACAGGGCCTAACACACAAGGGATTCTCAATAATTACTTGTTGAACAGAAAAAGGTGGCAGGAGGTGGAATGGGGAAGGCTACGATTTACTGTGTACTTAGTGAGGCAGGTATTATGATCTCAACTCTGAAAGTGAGAAAGCTGAAGGACTGGAATTTGCTCAAGCTCACAAAACAAACCCACAATTCACACCAGCTCTAAGAGCCATCTGCTACAACTGCCTCTCCAAGGAGCTATGTAAAATGGAGTTTTATATAGAATATGACATCCCTCTTTTTAAAAAATCTGCAATCTATCTTTTAGAGAAACTACAAGACACAATCTAAAAAAACTCAGATTTATATAGTTTTCCTAGCTCATTACTCAGTATTCTATTTAGTGGAACAGAATCAACAAGTGCTCCCTCCATCCTTCCTGCCTCTATTACATAATTAAGATCAACATGATAGATAGCCAGAGTGAGGGTGCATCCTGCCCGAACAACCTCTTACAGAGAAACAATTACCCACCAATTTAAAGACAGAAGGAATATCTGTACTTTCATTTAATATGTACTTAATGTTTTACCTGCTTTCCTATTAAAATGTGGTTCAAAAAAATT